AAAAAAAACAAAGCGGTTGGGCTTTTCTTAAAAACGTGAACCCCGTTTGTTGAGTCTGGGGGATTTTCGAAGCCCTTTAAAAAGCCTCCCATTCAACCCTGGGGAAACCCCTCCACAAACACCGGGACAGGCCTCTCCCCGGGGTGCATTAAGGGTTACGTTTATTATAGGAATTTGGGTGGGGTTTTAAACGTCCCCCAAACGCACCAAAAAAACACTGCACATCGAGTACAGAGGGGTGGCGGTGGACGCGGTATACTTGGACAGAGGGGTGGCGGTGGACGCGGTATACTTGGACAGGGGGGTGGCGGTAAACGTGGTATACTTGGACAGAGGGGTGGCGGTGGACCTGTATATACTTGGACAGAGGGGTGGCGGTGCACGTGGTATACTGGGACAGAGGGGTGGCGGTGCACGTGGTATACTGGGACAGAGGGGTGGCGGTGCACGTGGTATACTGGGACAGAGGGGTGGCGGTGCACGTGGTATACTTGGGACAGAGGGGTGGTGGTGCACGTGGTATACTTGACAGAGGGGTGGCGGTGGACGCGGTATACGTGGACAGAGGGGTGGCGGTGCACGTGGTATACTTGGGCAGAGGGGTGGCGGTGCACGTGGTAACGTGGTATACTTGGACAGAGGGGTGGCGGTGGACCTGGTATACTGGGACAGAGGGGTGGCGGTGGACGTGGTATACTGGGACAGAGGGGTGGCGGTGCACGTGGTATACTTGGACAGAGAGGTGGCGGTGGACGCGGTATACTTGGACAGAGGGGTGGCGGTGGACGCGGTATACTTGAACAGAGGGGTGGCAGTGGAGTACTTGGAAAGAGGGGTGGTGGTGGACGTGGTATACTTGGACAGAGGGTGGCGGTGGAACGTGGTATACTTGGACAGAGGGGTGGGGTGGACGTTGGTATACTTGGACATAGGGGTGGCATTGGACAGTGGTATACTTGGACAGAGGGGTGGCGGTGGACGTGGTATACTTGGACAGAGGGGTGGCATTGGACGTGGTATACTTGGACAGAGGGGTGGTGGTGGACGTGGTATACTTGGACAGAGAGGGGTGGTGGTCGACGTGGTATACTTGGATTTTGCAAAAGCGTTTGGCACAGTTCCCCACACACAGCTAATGTGTAAGGTAAAGTCTACAGGCTGGAAAAATCTGAATGTAAATGAATAGAAAACTGACTAAAAGTTCGTATTCAGAGAGTAGTGGGTAATGATTCATACTCTGAATGGTCTAGGGTGTCAGTGGGGGTACCCCAAGGTTCAGTGTTGGGACTCTTACTTTTTAATATATTTATAAACAATATCGGGTCTGAGATTATAAATCCCATTTCAGTCTTTGCAGATGACACCAAGCTGTGCCGTGGAATAACGTTATGGGGCCAATGAGGTTTAATGTTGATAAATGTAAGGTTCTGCACTGGGGGGCTAAGAATAGGCATGCCTCATACATATTGGGGGGGGGGTACAACTGGGGGAATCAATGGAGAAGGATCTGGGGGGGGGGTCAATGGTGGAGAAGGATCTGGAAGTTCTGGTAGACCACAAGCTTAATAATGGCATGCAATGCCAAGCTGCGGGATCTAAAGCGAGCAAAATCCTCTCTTGTATTAGGAGAGGTATAGACTCCAGAGAGAGAGATATTCATTCCCCCCCCCCCCCCCGGGTACAAATGATTAGTAAGACCTCATCTGGAATATAAAGTTCAGTTTTGAGCACCAATTCAATTCACAAAAAGAACATTGGGGAACTGGAGAAAGTACAGAGAAGGGCAACCAAACTGATAAGAGGCATGGAGGAGCTCAGCTATGAGGAAAGAATATAACTGGATATAACATTTATAGGTCAGGTTGATCCAGGGAATATCCGATTGCCTCTCGGGGAATCAAAAAATTTATTTTTTTCCCTGCAGGAGCAAGCTTTGCTGTTTTTTTTTGTCTGCCTCTGGATCAGCTGTGGGTATAGGATTATAACTTTTTTTTTTTTTTCTCTGGTTGAACTGGATGGACTTTTGTCTTTTTTCAGCCAGACTAACTATGTAGTTACAGGTGATTTTTTATCTATTTTTTTTTTTTAATTTACTACAGGCACCTATATAGCGCTGTCAATTAACGCAGTGCTACACACACATCAGCATCCTCTTACATCAGGGTCCTCATCAGAGACTTACCTTACATCAGGGTCCTCATCAGAGACTTACCTTACATCAGGGTCCCCATGAGAGACCCGCCCTTACATCAGGGTTCCCATCAGCATCCCCTTACATCAGAGTCCCCCCTTAGGGTCGCTGGTTCAAATCCTGACCATGGCACCACCTGCCTGGAGTTTGCATGTTCTCCCTGTGCCTGCGTGGGTTTCCTCCGGGTACTCCAGTTTCCTCCCACACGCCAAAGACATGCTGGTAGGTGAATTGGCTCCTGTCTAAATTGGCCCCAGTATGTGTATGTATGAATGTGAGTTAGGGACCTTAGATTGTACACCCCTTGAGGGTTAGGGACTGATGTGAATGTACAATATATATGTAAAAGCGCGGCGTAAATTGACGGCGATATATAAGTACCTGAAATAAATAAAATGATTTTCTTTTAGTTAGGGGGAAAGTGACAGCTAATTCTCTGAGCTATAGTGACAAAAAAAAAAAAAAAAAGCGGTAAATACATTTAAAAATCAGCACCATAATAAATTAAAAAAAAAAGGCCTGGGTTCCTCCCTCCCATCTATACCAAGCCCCTCGGTCTGGTATGGATTTTGGGGGGGACCGCCACACCATTTTTTTTTTTTTAGGCATGAGAGTTCCCCTCAAAATCCACACGAGACCCGAAGGGCTTGGTATAGATGGGAGGAGGGACCTCACGCCGTTTTTTTTAATTATTATATAATTGCCGGCAATTCATTTACATTTAGCTGTCAGTGGGGAACCCCGCTGACAGCTGAAACATTAACACATGGTTGTCACTAGTAAAATACCGCATTACTTAATAAAATAACTCATGCGGTATTTTAGTAGCTTTTTTTTTCTGACCTCTGGAACGGATTAATTGGTTTTCAATGCATTCCTATGGGAAACGGCATTTCGGTTTACGAATTGTTTGCTATAAGAAAAGTCCTGCAGAACAAATTAAATGAGTAAACCGAGGTGTTACTGAACTAGGGCCAATTCACCTCCCAGCTTGTCTTTGGAATGGTGATGAGGGACAGACAAGTGTCCCTTGGAGAAGCAGCTGGCCCCAGCTGAACGCAAACGCGGGTGAATGCCAACCTCTTGAGGCGCTTGTTATTGCCATTTCGGTGATCCACAAAAGGGGTGCCGGCCATCCAAAAGGCGATCTAGAGAACACTCCAACCATGCGCTAAGAAGACGCCACACACGTCCGGCTCATCAAATGGCCGGATGTAAGAACAGCCTCTACCGAGGTCACAGCCTCTGATACGTCTGGCACGTCCCTCCACCCGGGAGTGGACCGGATGGGGAACTCGTCTCTCAGTTCCCCATCAGGCTCCCTAATAACAAGGACCATGTAATTTCCCAAATATGGTGGGGCTTGCCCGTATTTTGGTAATGACGTCCCCTGCATCCGCGGCCCTTTTGTTTACATTTAGCTTGCGGCCGGGAATTTCCCAGATGACATCTAAATGAGGCCGGGGATACATTTCTGTGTGAGGTTACATACATGACGGCCTCCCAGCACAGCCAGTGCCCGCTTTGAGTACTGGCATACCTCTGCATGTTCAGAGTTGATCTTCAAGTGGTTCTAAAGGCTCAACCCCCACCAAATACTTACCTGAGCCCCTTTTCAATCCAGCGATGTGCATGAGAGCCTCGGCTCTCCAGGGACTCTCCCTCCTCGTTGGCGGAGACAGCAGCAGGAGCCATTGACTTTCATTGCTGTCAATCACAGCCAGTGAGCCAAGGAAGGGGGGTGGGTATGGCCGAGACATGGCTGTGTGTGTGTGAATGGACACAGAAAGCAGCGGCCTAGGAGTGAGCCTACTCAGGCTCAAGCAGTTTGCTGTGGGGGGCACTTGGCAGAGGGAGGGGGACCCAAGAAGAGGAGGATGGGGATAGGTATGACAGGTTTGTTTGGGTTTTTTTTTCTTCTTTAAATTGCCTATAATATCACTTTAATCATAGACTACCTCTTCGACGAAGCCCAGAGGGTGGGGCTAAAAGCACTGGCATGGGGTAGCTTAGGATGGTCTAAGACAGGGGTGGGCAGCTGTTGGTGAACTACAAGTCCCATCATGCCTCTGCGAGTCATGCTTGTAACTATCAGTTTTGCAATGCCTCATGGGACTTGTAGTTCTACAACAGCTGGAGGGCCACAGTTGCCCACCCCTGGTCTAAGACAACCAACTGACGCATTTCACCCAAAAACTCAGAGTATGCGGCTGAGGCCGAACATGTGCAGCGTTTTCTTACCACCTGAGAATCCCAGCTGCACAAATACACCGATTCTTGGCAGTGTACCGCTCTCTGTGACCGTGTGAATGAGGCCTAAATGGCAGCTTAACGCACAGAACAGTAGAGGGGGAAAAAGCACAACTAATTTCAGCACACACAAAAACGTATGTAAGAAATGTTGTGGCGCACGGATGAAGAGTAATAAATGGACTGTCACAATGCAATGCACATTAACCTATTCACGTCGGCAGCACACAAATGTGCGGCCTCCCGGCGTCTGGGCCTAGACGCCGAGAGCGGCCGCACATTTGCGTTCAGGTAAGAAAAAACATATGTGCCGAGAGCGCGCACCCTGCGCGTTCCCAGCACACATGTCCGGTACTCACGGAAAGGTCCCAATCTCCTCTTTCGATCGGGACCTTTCACGATCATGTCACACGTCGTCACGGAGGTCACATGATCCCTAAAACCCATCCCGCCTCCCGGCCCTTTAAGAGTTTCAGAAGCCGGGACGGGTTTTAGAGATCACGTGACCACCGTGATGACGTGTCACATGATCGGGAAAGGTCCCAATCGAAAGAGGAGAAGGGGTTAAAGTGCATCAGTTAAGACACCGCAAAGGATCACAAAAGTGCAAATCCAGCCTAAGGTCAGGTTCACACCTATGCAGTTTGCTTTTGCTCTGTTTCTGTAGTGCGGTTTTCATTTTTTTTTTTTTTTAATTTCAAGTTTCTGGGCAGATTCAAAAACGCAAAAAGCATCAAAAACGCACTAAATGCCCTTCTGCAGCTTTTCCATTAACGTTTATAGGAACAAAAATGCAACTTTTTTTCCATTAAAAAAAAAGTCCCTGACCCCTTTGCAAAAAAACACACTGGGTGAAAACGCAGAGATGTGAACGTGTCCCATAGAAAAATCATGTTCAATGGACTGCTGTGCGTTTCTGCAAAATGCTGCGGAAACCGCTTAGGTGTGAACCTGGGGTAAAGGGGGCAAAAGTGTCTCTGCAGGGCTCACACCATGGTGCAGAGACGTCCGTTTTTCTGCACACGTTCTGATAGGGCATAATGAAATCAATTGTTCTACTAACATTTATAGGTGACGTTGATCCAGGGAATATCCGATTGTCTCTCGGGGGATCAGGAAGGAATTTTCTTCCCAGCAGAAACAAATTGGATCGTGCTTTGCTGGGTTTTTTTTTGCTTCCTCTGGATCAACTGTGGGTGTAGGATTATTACTTTTTTTTTAATGGTTGAACTGGATGGACTTTTGTCTTTTTTTCAGCCAGACTAACTATGTAACACTTTAAAAAAACGGTCCTCACTGACCTCTATAGCTGCTGCAGACACTGTGCAGTAATTCATCCTCACTATTTAAAGAAGGTACACTGAGTTTGTCAAAGTCCTTCTGGCAG